CGATGTTGTGGAGGTCGTATCCTCTAGCTTATTCTACAACCTCTTTATATGGACTTCAAACACAAATGTGCCTAAAGTCGGAGTGGAGAATTGCACATTTGAAAAATGTTGCCACAGCACCCATTTATAGAGTTAATGATCTCTACAGAAATTGATTATAAATACGCATATATCTGCCCGTTTAGCCTGAACATTGTGAACACGTTGCTGAAAAAGTGGCGACCATGCGACAACACGACTATTCAAGGCGTTTGTCCATGTATCGCTTTATTTAAACAGTTATAATGAAAACTTAATCACAAGCTTTTTGGAAAAGTAACGTTTCAGACCAAGGGCCCTCCTAGCAAAATCCAAGAACATGGTATTCGTGTGAATGGCAGAGGTGGACAAATTGGAAGACCCTTCAGAGATAGAATACGTGCGTGTATGCAACCAGAGTCTTTGACGAGGTTTTTCGTTCAGGCTTGATCGCTTGATCTCCAACTTTGCGCAGGACACTCTAGGCTATAAACACGCTGAGTTGGTATCTGGTTTTAGGTAATTTTGAAGCGGAAGTGTTCAAACACTGAAAGTCCTAGAAGTTGAAAAACACTTAAAGTACTGTTTTTCAATTTACTTACTATGAAAGCCTGGGAAGAAGCGACGAAGGGATGAAAAAGAAACTTTCATAGTTGAATCAAGAGCAATCCAATGGAAAAATGGAGCCCAAATCTGTCCAGGCTCCACTGCATTATGGATGTGAACGAAGTTGATCTGCTCATCAGTAACTTCTTCATTGAGGTGGGTGCGAAATGGAAGAAAAATCAAAACTTGTGGACGTCGACTAATGTGACTGAACTTGTACCTTTGAGATCACGCGATAGAAGAACATTCTTGCAAAGTAGTTCGATTCAATGTTCATAACTCTGATTATTCTTGAGAACCATCACTATAACATGCCTTGCTAGAAGTTGAAGGCAGTGAAAAACTGCGACTGCGAGCTTTCTACACCTACACTGCCTTCTAGATGCGCTGTTCCAGCCTGTGCTTTAAAAAGTCAAAAAGTGCTTTTTTGGGGTTTCCCAGCCTTGGAGATCTCTGAGGGCCGGGCGAGGGACTCCCGCTATACAGTTGTAGCGGTAGAGTTTGTCCAAAATTGCGGTATTGTCGGGATTCGCGGGAACCGCGACTTCACGGGATTTGCGGGATTCGCGGGATTTGCGGGATAAGCAGGATGTAGCTATAACTTCTTTTGAAACCGCTTTGTTTGCAATCTGCGTGAAGATTTGGTTTCAGCTTGATGAAACGAATATTTTGATTTACAACATGTTCTCTATATCTTGTTTCCAGTTCCAATTCTTTGGCGGAGGTCCTTTCGCAAGGATGTAACGCAGGGCCCATCCAACATAAAAAAAACAGTAAACAGTTTTCGATAGTGCTCCTCCTGTGGATTATAGTGCGCTAAGAAGTCGCCGTATACTTTTTTCCGAAAGAGATAGAAGCGTTGGTAAATTCTTGAAAAATCACGAGTTTTCAATCTACTCGCCTTAACTTCCTTTAGAGCGAATATTTTCTGAATCCGAAAAAAGCATTATGCCAGCTCATCAAGGCGGATCTTTCTGATCAAAGTATGTCCTCGATATTACGATTTCAGTATTCTTGAAAATTTCTGCAGACGTCTCTTCGTAAAGGTGTAAAGCAGATTTGTTCCTAGTAGATTCCAACAAGAACCTTCCGATAGTACTTTTTCTATAGATTATGAAGCGCCAAGAATTAGCCGTACACTACCCTTCAAAGAAAATAGAAGTGCTGGTGAATTCTGGATAAATTATGTCGTTCTAAATTTTTCTCACCATAACCCTGAAATATGAAGCTCTCTTGCTAAGCAGATGTGATTTCCGTAATCAGCAGGTCGGATAACCTCTATGAGCAAGTTTTCCGAGATGTTCGGGTTATTTCATTTTTTTCTCTTGCGCTCTGATGAAGCTCGCCGGCGGATTTTAGTCAAAATGTTGATGATCTTGAATTGTAAGGAAACTTCGCTTATAGAGGTTTTGGAACACGCTCTTTACGAAAATTGTGGGTTTGAAATTTACAGGGTCTCTTTGGAGAGATACTGTGAGATGACTGTAACTGCGCCACGAAAGTGCGTAACTTTACCCGCACTTCTCGCGTATCTGTCAGAAAACTTGCCCTTGCTTTTATAAATGATGCACCGATGTGCAATCAGTCGGTTGCTGCACCGAGGGATCCAATAATTGCACCGAGCTGTGTAACCGGGAACCTGTAGATGACTTACTATGAGCGAAACGACAAAAACTCCCACCTCCCGCAGCGTTTTCTACTTACTTTTCTCGCGATACCAAAAATGATCCAAAATCATAATATTAGCAGTGATAAGTGATAAAAAGTCTAAATGATAAGGGTGGATAGAAACTGCACAATTCTCGACAGTTTTCGATACTCAAAACTTAATACCAAAACCTATCATTTGCAGTTTACACCTGGATACATCTTTGAAAAAACGTTATCATAGAAAACAACAAAGTAGTATCATATGTCTAACACGCCACCACGAATTACGGACATACTGTATATCAAAAGATTCGTCTCATCAAGCTGAAGCCAAACCTCACTTAGATTGCAAATGAAGTGGTTTAAAAAGAAGTTATAGCTAAATCCCGCTTAGCCCGCAATTCCCACGAATCCCGCATCCCGTGAAGTCGCGATTCCCGCGAATCCCGCGAATCCCGACAATCCCGCAATTTTGGACAAATTCTACCGCCACAACTGTACGGTTGGCTGCAGGATACTGTAGCTCCACCCATTTTGGCGGTAACTGCCTAATCGACTCAGACAGCCAATTGCGATATTGGAGGGATCCCCGTCCATCCCTTCCAGCTATCTCTAGGGTAGGAAAATGCCATAAAAAGCAGCTTTTTTGACTTTTCAAGCATAGCGCTGGACTCTGTGCCTCCAGAAGGCCATGCACGTGTAGAGAGCTCGCAACCGCAATTTTTCCGAGCCATTATCTTTAATGTATATATATTTTGCATGGGAGATAAAGGTTATTATAAGCTGTGTTTGTACAAAGCTAAGATTTTCTCAGTTAGTGGTACTCGAACGTTCCAACACGAGCCAACACGGTCGAGCCGAAGCTAAATCAAAGGGCGATTGCCCACTCACGGGCCCCTCGAAACCTGCGGCCTCCAGTGTCAGAGTGTATGCCGGGCTCGCGCGCCAAAATGCAGCATTACTGGCGCGGCTATTTGGTACCGCGCAAATTCTGTCGCGTTTTCTCAGCACCGCAAGTAAACCATATAGGGCAATCTGCAACTGTACAGGACACATGCAGGGTTGGATGCTCGAGCATCTTCGTTCGCGCAAGGCCGCCTTGCCTAAACTCTGCACCTCTTTCGCAATCATGCTCTCTTATCACTCACCACGATCGCGGGAAAGGAGGAACTTTATTGCTGACTGAGCGTGCGAAAATGATCGAAATCGCGAAAGAGGTGCAGAGTCCACGCAAGACGGCCGCGCGAGAACCAAGATGTTGGTGTGGCCGATTCTGCTAATAAACCCTACCTTCCCTATAGCTGCTAAATACTTAAATTCGCCTCAACTGGAGTTCTATTGCTACTTTCCAGCCAAGCAGAATATTATGATTGAGAATTCGTTTGTTTTTTTTTTTGGATCTAACAATCACGACTAAAGATAGAGGAATTAGATTTTGTCTCTATAACAGAAGAGACGATAATAATTTTGAGGTTACTAGGTATCCAAATTAAACGTCAAATATACCAGGATACATTCTTCTCAATACATTAACATCGGAAGTTTTCAGAATTTATAGAAATGTTCACAAAACTCAGATTTTAGAACGAGAATGTTGGAACTTAGCTTAACATCAAAATAGAATGGTTGGGATGGTAATAATCTTTTTGAGGCCATATACAACTGTTAATATAATTGACCTTTCATTTAACGTAAATATGGGTTAGGTACCGGAGTGCATACGCCTCTAATGCATGAGGTGCGGAATACACGGGCCACGGCCAATCAAAAATATACGGCGGGAACTATTATAAAATATTCAAACATAGATAAGCGTACAATTTCTTCTTTGCTAAATACCTAGCCTCCTAACATTTTATCATGAGTTTTACTCTATTTTCTCTCATTCCTTTTGCTACCCTTGGGAACTACTGATAAAAAGGTTCCAAACCCGGAGGCGCAAGGAAGGGCGCAACACTGCTCTAGTTCTTAGTCCCGAAACCAGTATGAGTAAGAAATCTTGGGATGCTTTCTGGCTTGATGTTCTTATCTAAGTCTATTCTATACGTGAAGATGCCAGAAACCAGATATGACTTCGTGCAAAGGCCAAAAGGTGACTCGAAGGCGCCGTCCACCCAGATTCTCGACTGTCACATTTTTGTCATTCTCATGCCTTCTCGTGGCCCCATTCCGAATATGAAGTTCAAATAGCACGGAAATCAGGAAACCCACCTTCTGGAGGTCTTTTTTGGCTAGCGTGGATGGTGCAAGAATGCAAGCCTCGCTTGCAGACAAGAGGACTGACCTGGCAGGCTCAATCCCTACATAGAATGGGCATCCACTATCATATGCCATCACAATCTCGTCACCCCAGCGGTGGACAGCGCTTTTGAGAATGGCCCTAGTCGCGGTCACCAGAGGCCAGAAAATAGAGGAGGTCGGAAGCGAGCAAGCAGATTCCGGAATCAATGCAAGGTCTGCACTAACATGAAGACAATCCATTCGTATAAGCAGCAGTTTATGGTGAGAGGCAATCAGCTCGGGATGTCATTCCTGCTTTTTGCTTTCACGACAAAGTGATTATAGACGCTTTCTCTAAATTACAATTTTGTGCTCACAGACCTCTTTTGCGCAATATTTCTATAAATCAGGAGACACTTCAACAGTCTAGGATCTGCCTAGGTTTCTTCACCTCACTTCACGACGCATGCCGTAGTAAAGGCGATGCGAGATGACAAACTCTGCATGAACAGTGTCAATCTTTACTAGTAATAAAATTGCTATGCAAAAGCAACATGGAATGAAGCAAATTTGTACAGGGAAACTCAACACACAAGCGCGACGACTGGTAGAATATACAGAAAGGGGGAATTATGGACACGAACGTGCTCATTTATGTATATAGCCGCATTTGAAGTTGAAAATAGAAATAATTACTAGTTCATACATAGGTAGAAAAAATATCGACAAAAAAATGACAACAAAAAGCCAAGCGCACACACCCCAAAACAAGCATATTCAAGCGCTCAAATGGAAACCCGTCGGGAACCAGATCAGCCAAACTCTTTGAAAGATAACATCAAAGAGTTAGTAAGTGACAAACTAATGTTCATTCGATGAAGTGATACAATAATGAAATATGTAAGTTGATGACTGGAACTCTCATAAACAATGCGTATGGCTCAAATTAGATCTGAAAATCTGGTGGATGAACTTTGGGAGGAGGATTTTCATCCTCATCTTCAAGGGAATACAGACTAGAAGCTCGAGGAACGGAGGTATTTCTTATGGAGCTCGGAGCAGCAACGAAGTGACTAGTTGTAGCAGCTGCGGATTGACTGGTGGATGGCAATGAGAATTCGTCTGTAACATTTGATAATAAAAAGCTTTGGTAATAAGCAATATAACATTTGTACATTATACGCTCAATGAAGGCAGTGCCCAGGTAGATCTAAGTGCTGGCTTTTTTACAAAGATTATGACTGGGAGGCTACTAGCTCTACCCAACCGGCAGCTCACATGATGTGGCCAAGTTCAACTCGTCACCCGATCGTACTCTAAGCAGACCATTTAATAGCGTACTGAAGCTATTGGCTTGGGCATATTCTAGGCAAGTTTCAAAATCGAATTTCTATAAATCATATGAGCTGTCGCTTGGCAAATTTGTTAGAATTCTCCAGTCACCGCATAAGAAGCTCAGGAAGTCAACTGGACATTGTCTTGAGTGGTGCATTTAGTTCCACAGAGTAAACAGAAGTTAAACTGAGTGTGCAGCGAAGATATAGTATTTGTGCACAGCAAAGCCTGCTTGGAGCAATAGTACTAGTGTCAATAAGCCCCTTTATGACGATAACTAAGTAAGCAAAAATTCCCAACTTAGCAATCAAATATTGCTGAAAAGGATACAAGATAAGATGTTTTGCTTACTCTGAGATAGATCAAGGCACATTATCGTCCCATAACAAGCATTTTTACTGCGCAAAGCAGGCATTAGGCACCCGCAACGCTACATTCACATGGTCCCTTTTTCTCTCTTCCAGTCTGCAAAGAGTCTGAAGCATTTTTGTACCTGGTTGTCAGTCCTCAATTCACTAAAACTAATTTCATGCGTACAAGGCGCACCCTTTTCGATTTTTCAAGCGAGCTCCTCAGTCACTTCACTGTTTCGGGAAGCGATCTTTATGCCGCACGTTTCCTTCAACCAAAATACAGCACGGTATAGGATGCTTTGGTTGCGAAGTTCAGGGCGTGCTTGGGCTGGTAGATTTTGGAAAAAACTTCCCCGCGCCTTGTACGCGTGGAATTAGGGTGATATAACTACGCAAAAGTGATAGCAAACTTCCTTCAGGCGACGCTATTCTTCGAAACTACGTAACCCCATGTCGTTGACCGGTACGGACTGATCGCTGATTGTGAAGCACGCGCAGCGCGGCCAATTTCTTGCACTAGTAAAAATCGCTAATTGTACAAGTCGTGCCACGTAACATTTTCAGCCGCGCTGCGCATGTTCCGCAATCTACGACCAGTTCCTGCGGTCCCAGACTTTCAAAGATGCACTGAAGAATTAAATCGTCCATGAATCGTCGAGATGTTCAGCGTGTTACATTCCCAGTGCGTCAGATATGGATTTCATAAAAAACGCTAATATTTTGTGTGCCTAGCATATAAGGCCCATTTCGTGTATATTTTTTGCTGTCATATCACACTACTGTTAGATCTTCAAAACGATAACTGTGGATTTGAGAAAGTAGGAAAGTAGCTTGACACACATATTCATAAAATACGCGCTGCAAATAGCAAAAGAGGCCACTGTAGACGGGAGTTTTTCTAGCAATGTTCCTAACGAGTACCTGTCGATGCCCTTCTAACAATAAGTGCACTTACATGCTGGCGTGACTCTGTTAAACATAAAAACTAACACTGCAGACACGCTAAAGTCTGCTGTTGCGGCTTTGCAGGTGCTTGGACAGATTTTCAAACAAACTTCTTATAAATTACGACCTTCACCTGGACCCGTATAAGTAAGCAATGAGCGATTAGCTGTACTACTGTGAAGCCTACTCTCGTACAAGCAGTCCCAAGCAGCTATACTTTATTTGAGACGTCACGACGGCAGCCAAATGCTGTTGACCTACCGTGGTCAGGGGGAGCAAGCTGAGCCAGTGTTGGCTCGGAAGATGTCCCCGGAAACACTCGCATCTCTTCTTTCATAAGGCGCTGCATCGGCTGTGGAGTTACCTTCTGCGCAGAAAAAAAACAATGATCAGACAAAGCTCAATACAGCAGAGCATAATTATAAAAAATTCGCGCGAAGATACGCCTTTGATAAAACTCATTCTCCACGTGCTTACATAGAATTACACGTACACGTTCTGTCGTTCCATCAAGTTTTCACTCCAAAATTGGTTGCATTTCGGTGCAACACAGCATACGTGTTCTTCTCTCCAACTGTTGATAAAGCCAATTAAGGGTTAGAGCAATTTAAAGGAAGATTTAAAAAGTTGTTAGAAAGCATCTATTTGTTGTAAGTGCGCTAACCTTCATAGTTGAGTCAATGTCTTCACTCTCATGTGATTGCTCTTCAATGGCTTTCCGCCGCTCCTCTCTATCCATATACCAAATTGTAACAGCAAATCTGCAAGTGGATTTTGAGTGAGTACAAGAGATAACCGCGTTAAAGTTAAGAGATCAGCTTGATCAGCTTGACCAGCTCAACACACCTAGGCCTAAACACCGGCATGACCTCGTGCGGATTGCGCCGATCAGACCAGAAGAATACTAGTCGATCAGCTTTTGGGTCAATGTCCATAGGAATCATGGATGACTCGGGATAAAGGCGAAGTGTACCTCCATCCTGGAAATCAATGAAGATGATCTCAGCTAATCTTATCACTGCTTTCAATCCAAGTACCTTGTTTATATCCCAATCCTCGTTACAATAATAAATCGTTGTGATACATCGTCCATCTTTCACTGGATTGTCCACATGCTTTATGTATCTCGTGCCGTTGCCAGGGTATATAGCAAGCATGGCCTGCAATAAACAGTTTCAAGGTATAATGGCTGCAGTTCCGTGCAATGCACACGTCTTGCACAAAAACTCGTTTTCTAAGATTTTCTTTGACTTCAATGACAAAATGCTGGAGAGAGAAGTTGCTATAAAAATTTGCGGGAACGATATGGTCATCATATGATCGAAACTCGGTGGATAGCTGAATGAGAAGACTCAGTTTGTACTATTGCAATAGAAAAGAAGCTGCTTCAACCAGTTCTCGCGATTTACATACTGTCACATATTCGCGCCCTCGATTACAAAAAAAAAATACACGAGTTCATGAATGATTTCCGTTCTCACCAAGAGAGCATAGAAGCACATTCATTTATCTCTAAGTTATCTGAACGTGATGTTTTGATCCAGTCCTTAGCCGGCCACAAAAACCACGCCTCACCTAGTGAGCACAAAGTCCACGAAACTTGGCAAAAGCTAAGCAGTAACTGAGATTATAACAGTCGTTTTGTACCACGGATAAAAAAGACGAGAAGCACGAGGCGCAAAAGCAATTACGTAAGCAAATTTACAAAAAGAGCTTCACGCCCAAAGTCTAACCATATGCTCTATGCGCGGTAACAGTAAGTTAGAAAATGAACGTATGCTTCGAATTGTCGAAAATATTAGGTTGTTGCAAAAATAATGTCCATTTTGCAAAATTTCACTTTGAAAAGCTATAACTTCGTTCAGTCTTCATATTTTTGAATGCGGTCAAGACCATCAGAAGCAGCAAATCTTTCGTAATAAAGGCGTACCTGCATATACTGATGTCGCAAACGGGAAGAAAACCATGCGTCAAAAAACCAAGAGTTTTGCTTTTGAAAACCTCGTTTTTGAAAGATTACAAATTCATTCGTTTTTTTGTTATGGCTGCTAGTCAGCTTATTTTATAGACGCAACCCACTGGTATAATTATATATAGAAAGAACTTTAGCGAAGAAGTTCTGCGAATTAAAAAAGGTAGAAATCCAAAATTGTTCACTTTTTTGAGCCTATTTATGATAGGTTGGAAGTCCCAAACTATGAAAACTTGGAATTTTTCATGCACTGAATGGCTAAGTTTTTCTGCATAATGTTAGATAAGATGTCCTTACCTTAGGCCTACAGAAATGAGCGAAGTTTCAGCGATTGCCCTAATCAGGAAAAATTTCGAACCCATGAAGTTCCAGGCAGCCAGTATCTTTTTTGAAGCTCGAATTGTCAGTTCAGGTATAATCGAAAAACTTATTTAAACATGCAGTAAGTAAACAATATCAATCCTATACAGTAGCTATGTTTTCAGAAGAAGTCGTTTATTTGCGCCTGAATTATGGCCAAGAAAGTTGGAGCAATGAAATTTCGATTTTGAGTGCGGCTGTTCAAAATGCTGGTGAAAATCTCACAGATGAGATAAAAGCTTAGTTTTACCACCGAATGTGAAATTAAATCACTCCTTACTCCTAGATTTCACAAATTGCAGAGAAGTAACCGCTACCGTACCGAGCATGAATCTTTGCTGCATTCACGCACGTCCGCTGCATAAATAATCCACTGAGCTTACAAGCCCAGAAATTATACAAACGAAAAGTTGCCAGTCACTGAGTGAAGCAAAAAATTTCTGATGTGCTAAAATGTGCACCAACATACATCGATGAGCAGGTAGTAGAATAATGCACTTCCGCTATTTAATTTATGTAGCTGAACTGCAGGAAAAAGTCACTGATGAGAAGCCATTGACACGCTACAAGAATCTCGATTGAATGGCAAGGTGAAAATCCAACTTCATGTTCCTAATTGAAGTGAGAATTCAAAGGCTCGATACCGATGAACTGAGTTTTTCCGACCACGATCATGGGATTCTTCTAGTTTATTCAATCAGAACGAATCTTTTGCAGCATGGAAAAAGTAATGATCAACGTCATCTTATGAACTGCTCAGATCGCGTCAACAGACACACCCCAGCTGGAATGCGGTGTTCTTATTTATCATCAGATAGCAACCCTGTCAATTTCCGCCCCTATAAAGTCCGATTGTAGCGTGACCAGACTGTAACTAAACTATAATAGTGCCTAATTTAATGTTATTAGAACCACACAAAAAATTATTGTATGAATCCAAAAAACCAAGTAAGTCACAATGTCATATTCCCGTTTAAGCATGGTTTGTCATGTGGTAGTTTTTGGCTTGCACAGCCCATCTCATCAAATTTTCACCACTTCTTTCCTCAAGCTGTCCATTATATGTCATAAACATTGCGAATCGCGTTTCAGACATTTGTGTTTTGAAGTCTCTCGATTTATTATAATTCAGACTTATCCACATATCAAGATAAACTCACTCTCGATCGCCCGCTGATGTCATATGGTGGAAGCCTTCCTTTGAAATGCTGAATGACACTGTCGATCATGGACACAAGTAAACGGACAGTAGCAGCATCACTAGCACGGGGATCAGCACCATCAAACCAGTAGATCTACAAAATATCTGGTATCTCCAATCTGACACGCAAAAAAAGTTTTCTCCAAAGTACATTTCAAACCTGATCTGAACGGATATCCTTGACGTGGTATTCATCCTTGTTCTTTCCATCCATCAGTTGACCAGCGCTGAACAATCCGCGCTCATAGAGACACTTTATCTCTCTGTAAGAAATTATTCATGACTGTTCGCGGAAAAAGGCGAAGTAAGATGACGCAGTTAAGTGAGATACTGCACGACTCAAGGTACATTGCAGGTGCACCCATTAGATTTTTATGTTAGCCTAATATACGTTCTCAAAGTGAGAACGTGCCGATGGTCGTCAAAAATATATAAGCTGTGCACGTAAATGTAGCGCAGCTCGTTAAAAAGTAGTCCCAACCTGCCTATGAGGGAAAGACAAGGTAAGGGCAATAATGCGCTCAAGCCAAGAAAAAAATGCTGTCTCTACAATGATGTAATTACCCATCAAAGTTCGCTGATCATGTCTCTGCAAGCATTGTGACACTCCGAATTTCAAGGGAATGCAGCTTCACAATCCAGCTTGCCTTAGCACATGATCAATTTAATTCGCGAATTATGCTTCTCGTATTCTGCGTTTGCCAACAAAGGGAAGCAAAGTGCATTAAGCATAAATCAAAACTTCCGTGATGTGACAACGTTGCAAAATTCACGGTATCGGACCACATCGTTACGTGCATAAACTCTATGTTTATAGACTCCAAAGAACGATTTCGGCTACTTTGCGCTAAATCTCTTCGCCGGTCGTGCACCTCGTTTTCTTCCCTTTTCCAAAAACTCACTTGTACGTGAATCGGCAATGTTCGTCACCGAGAAAATTGTCGACTACTGCCCATCCAAACTCGTTTAGACTCCGAATCACGTACTCAGCAATATACTGAATGGCATAGCAAATCATAAACGGTCACAACTAGCTACACCCACACACTGACCCTGAGTCGTAGGACGAGTGTTTGGTGAATGTTCAAAGTAAGACCTCGTTTCTTCATCATAGCTTGATGCTCCTGGAGCGTGGTCTGCAAGAAAAGGGCGTAATTCATATACTGATCTCAGGAAGTATCTTACATTGTAGACCAAATTCTTGAGGTGGTCTTTGAAAATAACCCCGTTTGAAGGCGTTGGTCTTTTCCGACATCTGCCCAGTCCTCCCGCAGAAATCCTGTTGTTTGGGCTCTCGATTATCTAAAATCAGGATGAAGAGAAAAGATCGAGAAAACTAATTTTTGAAGACCGCCATCAATTCTCCGATTAAACGCAAACGGTTTTGGAAAACGAAAAGCATTTTATAGTCATAACAACCCCAAATTGCTTACAAGAGCAAATTACGTCACGGCATCGACAGTCGACAGCCGCACGCCTGCACGATGACAGTGGTTCTCATCTTATTACTAGATATGATTAGTTAAGGGAATTAGCCGTTATAAAATTAGTTTGCGGTCGCGATTGTCGAATATAAGTCAAGACTGCATCATAAAATTTTCCCAAGGGCCTTTGACTAGAATGAGGCATTCTTGATTTCCTTAGCATAGGCAACGAGATTTCTTGACATAATTGCGCCCCACACTGACTCCGTGATGCTGATAGACGAAGTACTACCCTCCGAGATGGTGACAGAAGTAACGATGAAAAGGAGCAATTTGCAAGTTTTGTGGTATTACATGGATTCAAATTATATTTCTAAGGTTGATTCGTATTTTTAGAAAGGATATCTGTCTCAAATGTTTGAGTACAGGAAAGTGTATGTTCGGATGCTTTGAAGGTTTGAAGATTCCTGCCTCATACGACCTTGCAAAAGTGCATTGTTTCTTTTTCTGATACGAAGTGTGAGGTCTAGTCTACTACGCGTGACTTACGTATGCTTACGCACGCATGCCTACTCATCATGCGTGCGTAAGCACATGTAAGTTGCTTCGCTGGCAAGCATGCGTGCGTAATTAGTGGAAGCTAAACAAGGATGCGAGATTTCGAAACCTACATACCTGCAGCTTGAACTCTGGTCTGGTCATAATTCGAAGAGACAATTAGAGGAACGTTTGCTGGTGTGAAGTGAGGGTGACACGTTGTCGAATGATGCACACACCGAAAGTGGGAGGGTCGCCTTGCCACAGCTGTACGTGACAATGTGGAGATGCTGGTCAGAAACGCCACTCCCCTCTCACGCACTAGACGTTTGAATAGAGGGTTGCAGAAAGCGCCTTATCAAGTGCTGTTTTCGAGCAGACTATGCCGCTATGCTCACGCAGCATAGCGGCATATCAAAAAACTATTTCGCCACTGAGGAACTTGTGACGCTACATTGTATGGATAACATTCGGTCATGCTCTTCCCCTATTTTTCTGCAGACAAAGCAGAACCTTGCAATCGGACATGTGCACTTCGCCAGCGCTTAGCGATAAGGCGCAAAGGCTCACGTACGACAAAAATGCACGAGAGTAGTGTGCGCTCTGACGCTGCTGTATCGAGATGACCTCAGTAGAGGGCAGAACGTTTGCGCTGACTACGTGCAGCCGTGGAACCTCTATCTATCCATAGGTCAAATCAAGTACAAGCTTTCGGACGCGCTTGTAGACCCCAGCAGTCATCACACGACACATCGGTGCAGATTCATGCAAGATTTTTGCAGAAATGAAGGAAAGTAGCTGGTTCTCAACAACCTCATGACACAGATAATTATGAATAGAAGATGTCCTCGTGGGAATCACTGCTCTCATCACTGCCAGACGAATACTTGTCAAGTTATAGTCCCAGTTTTTGATGCAGTTTGCGCAGACGTTTGTAACTAGTTGCAAACTTCTGCACAAACTTTTTTTTCTATATGAGGGCCAAAGTGTTCCTCCTCGCCATCAAATGTTCATAAATGTACTAACTTTTTGCCCCCCGTTTTCGATTTCTGCAGAAGTGAGCATTAGGCATCAGCATCCCTTCGCTAGCCTTATCTGCACGCTCAGCGTCTCCGCTTGTACGGAATTTACGTCTCTCTCGACGGAACAAAAAGTCACGACAGCTTTCCACTTCGGAGTTCGTACAAGCACGTGGCGATTTTCTGTACAAAGGATCGTACAAGTGTACATCGGAACAAAAAATCCTTCAGCGACATTATCCAGTCCTGAATTTTAATGCGATGTGGCTGCACGTAACAGCTGAAAAAGGCGTCGCGCGATATCCAAGTCATCATATAAGAACTGGACGAACATTGGCGTCGTTCACGTAAGCACTGCTCGATGTCACGTAATTCGGATTCCGAATTGTCCTCGTTACTGGCACGGACGAGGAATTCAAGCAAAACTGCGTCGTAGAGTCACCATCATATGTACAGCGAAGCCAGTTTTGAGGAGTCCGTTTCCAGAACCAGACTTTCCGGTATTCACTCAAAGAAAAAAATGAGTTCGGAAGAAACTCTGCAAGCGCTATGTTGGCGTCATGACAAAGAAGCACAAAATGCTCCAAAGGCGAATATCTGCGAAAAGGATGCGATGACTAGAACTATTATATTACGCGTAACGTGTTGGAAAGAAAATTTAGGTAATAAATAAAGGAAAATATGATGTCGGAAAGCATCTTAGCAGTTGTTTTCAAAGTTGGTCCTTCGCCCAGGCATGGCGTCCTCTTCCTCAATGCGGATTTTTGTGAACCATTTACGAACAGGGTTTCAAAGAGCCAATCAGATTCTCCTCGATCGGGTAACGGATATACCTAAACCTCTTCTCCCCTCCCCGTCACTTCTATTGGCGAACTGGTTGTCCGCACAAAGCCCGCCCGTTCAACTTCGAATCAACTTTGCGCTTATCAAAAAGCAATTTTTCGAATTACTGATAAACCACACACTTTTGACTGTAAAAGACCTAAAAGCAGAGGTGAGATACATATGCAACAGTGGCGTACCGAGGGGGGCGGGGGGGGGGGGGGGAGCGCGCCCGAAAGTTACTTACATGAGTTATAAAATTGTGCAAATGACTTGTCTACACTTGTAAATAATTAAAATAATTTTTAAAAAATTTTAAAAATCCATTTTAGCCTTATAAAAAAAATTTTCGGGGGCGTGGCTGACGCCACGCCCCCTTGTTCTGAAATTTTGGGGTTGTGGGCCCGCGAAAATTTTTTGAAGCGTACCAAAAAATTTTTCTGGGTGCGTGGCTTACGCCACGCACATTCATTGAAAAAAATTTTTTGTCGCGCCCCCCTCCGAGCCGAAATCCTGGGTACGCCACTGATATGCAAATTAAAAAGTTTGCCCAGCAATGCTTCTAACCATTGTAACTTGTTTTCCTTTATGAACTAAACTATTATCGCTAGAATTTGCAGAGCTTTCACCGAGCAAAAGACTGGGATATGTTCCTGTGATGACGATGAATAAGGCAAGAACGAACTCTAGCAAGTATTCACTGCATGACTGGAGTTCATCAATTTTGAATTATATTCAACTATATATATATATATGCATATGACATATATATATATATATATATATATGTGTCATATGCAACTGTTAAGGCTTGAGTTTTCTTGAGTTAGGACTCAAGTCCCATAAATTTTTGAGCGCGAACAAGTCAATATAACTAACTAGTGGTGCAAACTGCATAATTAGCAAGTTTTAAAAATCACACTTCCTAGTGTAAAGAAAATGAGCCTTTTGCAAGCGAAAGTTGCACATATTTGTGTTCGTGAAGAGTCTTGAGTGTTATTGCAAATGTTTTCTGATCTGTAGAATCTGTACGTGAGAAGACTTTGATTTCGACTCTTTCTCAGAACATGAAGGGGCGCGAATGGACCCCTGGAACAACAATGGCACTGCGTTCTAGTAATAAAACCAGACAAGTCAACCGTTAACGTTCGATGGTCGTTCACTGAATGGCTGTTATGAAGACAACTGAGTCTAGAACGCACCAAAATAACCCGTTCAACCAGACAGAAGATCATTTAGAGGGGATCCAGAGCTAATGTCAAAGATGGAATCCATTTCTGATTATTGTACTTCACTTCTCCGTCATAAGCAAAGACTTAATAATGCCGTAGCCTACGGCAGTAGCTCGGCGACCGCACTCATCGAGCACATATTTTGGTATCTTGTAGGACGTATTTCCAAAATATACCAAAGTACTGACACAACGGCAGTACCTTCAGAACAAAGAAGTTGCGTCTCAGGCTGTAAGTTTGACATCTGCATTTTCGCTAATCATATGCGCTTGTAGTGCCGAAATTTTGCAATAAAATTTAGCGAGCACAAAGCTAAGCCTTTAATGCCGGCCGCCTGCGCGCACAAAATACAGGCGTAACTGGCGTGGCTATTTGTTCATGCGCAAATTTTACTCCTAGATTTCGGCACCGTATGAGCACTATACTAAGCGAAAATTCAAATTCAGAGTCACCCGACGTGCCGGCACAGTACCGATAATGTGGCGGCCACTGCAAAATAAGGAAGAGCATTTTTGGCTATTTCCTCCTCTCCTTCCGTCGCCTATTTTTGCAACTCATTCCCCCCCCCCTCCCCCACAACACACACACACCGTCCCCTGACACAGAGACACACCAAAAGAAGGGTGGTAACAGGTACGGCCAATGCGTACAGGTGCCCCTCTTTTGTCATAAATCATTACTTGTGCTGGAGGAGCTTTGGAATTTGAGACCAAACTAATGACTATCCCTGGCGCCTCTCTCGAGGGTGCTGTTATAGAGCTTTCAGTAGAGTTGCCGTTTTATGATTTCGTCATCAAGTGAATGGGAGAGCAGGAGAAGACGACATATAGCAATTCGACGTTTTGAGTATAATTCTACAACTGCGCCGACATCACGTGACCATGAATACAGCTGATAACGCAATATTTGAGGGGATCGTTCTTGGAGACATATCACATCGTCCTCAGTAAAACGGGTGCACACAGCATGAGAATCTGTTACAAGTGGCACTAGACAAGGTGTCCCAGAGATGTGATCACAATGAGATATCGATGATTTTCTTCTCGACTTATTTCGAGGATCTTTGCGGTTAAGTTTGTTGAGCGGGCTTCAATTAGATTTACAATACGCATAGATTAACCAACCACTCTCATTCACTGTGGGATTAGGGCGAGACTTCCATCTATACATTTCATTGTTAGTTAGCCACCACTCGTTATTTCTTCGGTAAAAAGTTGCAAACTGGGACTTCGTGCAATGAAATCTTGACGCACTTTGGATTGGAACAAATCTTTCTTTATTAGAAGAGTTTTTTTCAATCGAAGTAATAGCGCTCGTAAGTTCCTCTGTAAAGGTACAGAAAGGAAAAGTAATCAATAACTCGTTTAATAACATAAACCGAAGATGTGCACGTTCTACTGACTGATACCTGATTCAAAGTCATTAGAGGCGGTGGCCCAGCAAAATTTCGATCTCCTCTTTTCAACCTTTTCGGAGCTTCTTCGCCATGCTCAACTCATATCTGGGCTTTCCAGAGCTTGAAAATGGCGAAAATGGGGCTTTTTATTTGGAGGTTGACCATGTCCAAATGGCTAGGAAATAGTGGTCGGGTTCCGGAATGAAAGGGCGGAGGTCCAGAAGACTTCTGGATTGGCTTTCAGGCTCTAGACGCTCTTTTCTGCTCCAGACTTCGCTGATAAATTAGTTGGGGGTCTGCCGTTTCAATGCTATACAATCCCAGCACCCATCATTTTGGCGAGACGTTGGCTTTAACAAGAAGTTCACAACGTCCGTACTTCCTGTACATACGTTTGTGATACTATACGTATAAAAGCAAAGTCACGCATGCTCCAGCGCTTTTGATTAGTTTGCATCTGTTCCAGTTTACAGTCCCCCTTGCGATATGATACTGTAGCGCCGAAGCGGCACAAACCGCCGCGAGGTAGACGCCCGCCAATCCTACCTCCGCCAAACTAGGTAAACTCAATGTACGTGTGTGGCAAAAGCTAATCCTTTCACAGGAGAGGGGAGGGGAGTCATATGCAACTTCGTGCGGACCCTGCGACGTTTGGGTGTGCGCGTTGGCCGCAGCGGGTACAATCTGTTCCATTCTGAATCAAGTCGAACCGATGGCTAAATTTGCGCGCATTTGCGCGCACGCAGCGCCACTACATTGCGCTGCATACGCGCACTGTCGGAGAGAGAAAGAGATCGAAGAGAGAGCAGGCAAGTAGGCCGTAAACGTGACGCAAACATTTGCGACGCGGACTCCCGCCGTGCCAATTTCGGCCTGATTGGGACTGGGGCAAACCGTATAATCATCTCTCTATTCATATTAATAGTTGGTATTTCCAATTTTCTATGCAACGACCACACTGAACTATTTTGAATTTTCTAAACCCTTCATATAGTGCATATAAGCACGAGTCTTCTGTACTTTCCTTTTGAGTGCGATATAATGAAAATCGAAGTACGCGAGAACTGGAAAAAAATAATGCAGCTTGACCCACTTGATATAATGACGTATAACACATGGAGTAACACCGTACTTCTCAATGACTGACTACCAGTGCTAGGTTTTATACGCAATCGTTCGCATAAATTTACTTCCACCATACCTAGGCTAAATATACATCAGAGTGCGACAAAAGTCTAAGGAAACGGTTTCCGTTCCATTCACTTTTATCTCAGGGTAAAATTCTTCTAAAGCAAGCCCGTCTTTGTATCGTTATCAAGCGCGCTAATCGAGAATTGCACGTCTCTAGACAATCAGCTGAGCGATGTTTTCGCATGCAATGACGCTGCGTCTGCAGCTTGCACTTCGTCCGTGCAAAGCGAGCAGACATAGTATTTTCTCAACGCCATTTCGCATGTGGCAATGCAGAGGCACGTGAAGAGCAGTGCGGCACGTACGAATGTCACGCGTGAACACGGCAGAAAATTCGCAGAGAATGAGGACGACATACTTAAACTTTTTCAACGAAATAAAGCCTTTTCCCATGATGACTCAAGAAGAATGAGAGTCAACCAAAAAGGGACCAATCAATCACATTTATATACACACAGTCGAGGTAGTTCGTATGATATCCACGCAGCGCGAACATCGAACGTAAAGGTTGCTATGTTGGTCGCAAGAATGCACTGACCCTCCGACATCAAGGCAAGCTTCGGAAAATCCACATTATGTGAGCAAAATGGCCAAGAACTCTCAAATCCAAATGCATGCTGTGTGCATTCGCACATATTGGATTGAGAACCGACACGACCGTATAGGGACGCGGTGGAAGATACAAAACTGCTTTCACCTGTCTGCACCTCCAAATACAATGGCAATGAATGGATATACTCGGCCGACCGCTCAGCAGGTAAGTGTGGTCCATTGTTACAGGTAGGACTATGTACTACATCTACCACCACGACTCTATTAGCTAAATGCTATGGCACCAACTCTCACAAGCAACAACAGCGCTTGGCCGCACCATCACAGAAAATAAAGTGTAGGACTTAAGTGCTCTAATGCAAAAAAAAATTAATCGAAGTTTCAAGAGACAACTACTTTGAACGATTGAGTTTCACACTGGTGCGCTTTCGAAAGTAAGCACCCTAGATGAACCATAATGACATCGTGGTCATCTGTAATCCTCTAAACTGACACGCGAGAGCGACACTGAATTCCGTCCTGCACTTTATCTTTTTTCGCGATTCAAAAATTTCTACGTTCTGTTAGTAAGATGCAAACAGCAACAACAAAATCATGATGTGAAAGTTGTACCTGAATGTCTGGGTCATCAGTCGGTATCAGTCTTTCCTCAGAACATGTAGCGGAAGTAGAAGGTCCCGGTGATGGTGAATCTGAAATGTAAGCCATTTTGCAACCAAGCAAGGGACTGAAACTTGATCACGGCCAATATTCAACCTGCCAATGGTTATGAGGAGGCTCTACGACAAAGCCAGATTGCCTTGCAGCGTCCAAGCAAGTCTGGACACATGGGGTTCTCACTGGATATAATTTTGCAGCCCTAACTAAGCCACTGCCGAACCGGCAGCTCAGGTAGTGGCTCTAGCGGCTAAGATACCCCCCTCGAAACTGGACCCCAAGATCGTATTTCGCATGGATTCATAGCGCAACGAGTGGGCCCTCGCGCGAAACTGCCATGAAACCATGCGAACATGACCCTGGGGTCCAGTCTGAAGGCGTATGTTTCAGCCGTTAGTGAGTCACCTGCGCTGTCGCTTGGGCAGTGCCTTAGTTAGAGCTCCAAAATTACTTTCCACGTAAAATCCCCGTACGTCCGGAACTGCGCGGACGCCGCCTTTAACAGAAACAATGTAATGGTTTCAATAGAGCATCATATAATGAGGCATAGTCGCCTAGTAGCGACTGCCTCATCATATGATGCTCTGTTGAAACCACTACATTGCCAATTTTTGTAAACAACACCATGATAGCGGAGAAAGATATCAACGCTGCGCCTGAAGAGAAAAAAATCCGCGAGTGCTAGGCTCCTTCTCAAGTTTGCAAGCGACGTTAAAAAGCGAAGCAATATGCAAACAATATGAAAGTCAACATACTAGTTCTAGCTGTTGAAGTAGATGCTTCACTGTTTGGTGTGTTCAACTCTGGACTTGGTGTAGATGAAGTGCTAAGTGTTTCGGTCTGCGTATGCGTTGTGTGCGAGAATGGCCTTGTAGGGGATGATACCAGACGCCGCTCTACCTCCGCTTGAGCCTGTTTACATATTGGCTTGTGACGCTTCCAGTCGAACTGCTAAAATATGGCGAGTGATGAAACAGTAGCGACTTGTGAAGGGCACCCCCATTTTCTCTTCTAAAAACCAGAAGACTCTTTCCAAATAGTGGATCTTTTTGCGGCCTTATAAATGGCTAATTTTTTGAGCTCAAGAGCAGATGCGATAGTAAGCCTACTCTAGAGATGAGTTACCGTCAATGAGGGGAGTGAAATGCAACAGAACATCAAGTACTAGCCATGCTTCTCCTACCCTCGATGGCACCAAAAGCCACCTAAGTAGATTGGCCGCTGATGGCATCGAAACCGTCAGCGCGCACGTAAGCATTGCCACGTTAAGCAGAGAAAGTAGACGGAGAGATAAGTAGGTCGACATGCAAAGAAATCGATGTTCGAAGGGTAACTTGATTTAAATCTTTCTTGAGCGTATAAGGCTTGACTACACTCAAGAGCTGCTTGAACTGCTCAAAATGTTAGCTTCAAATGAAGAAAACTATGTAATATTTGCATACAAAAGTAACTACTACTCGCATTTAAATTATTATTGATCCCGAAGATCGCGAAAAATGTGAAAGAAGAAGTTACCATTTTGTGGTATGCGATCCTACAACTACTACGAACTAAAATGAAGGGAAACCTGTACTGCTGTCATTTTTTTACGCGAAGGTTTTTTGTTTATTCATAAAGTATAGGCCTACTACATTCAGCATGCCCAAAACCCGAACAAGGCAATAGTGGGAAGAATCTTCCAAAAAAATTTTCATTAACTACACAGAACAGAGAGCAGTTTGAAAAATCAGCTCCTGTTCAATTTTCATAGACTTCATAGCAAATTCTTTCACGCTACTCAAAACAGCAACAAGCATGTAGAAGCTTATAAGAAAAACATATTGGGAAAACAAAAACAACCACTGCTAATCGTTATCTACCTGATGTTCGTCGCAACAGTATGCCACGGAACCACAAGACAGGCACTGCTTCAACAAATTAGCGTCATCATTTCCACAGTAGCGACATTTCTCCAGCATAGTCAAATCGGCAAACTGCTAAAGTAGTGATGTTGTAAAAAGAATGCGTTCCGTAATTCAATAACAAGAAAAGAACTGAGTATACAGGGCATTCCCAAAAGATTACCGAATGCACAAGAAAGACCCACGATTGAGCGCAGGGCCGTAAAAACCCCAGCAATCAATCAGTATAAAAGTTCACATTAGATACGGGCCTAGTGACCACTTCCGCATAGCAAGCAAAAAGTGCGCCAAGACTGAAGAGCAAATAGAGGTTTTCTAAATACAAGAAAAAAGATTGTTCTTTGGAGGCATTGTGAACGGACCTCTTCAGATTCCAAGACGTCTAGTGATCGCTTCGTATATGTGATGTCGATCGGCGTAGGTTCGTTTGCCTGCCTCACTTCAATCATCTCAGACGTACGCGACGCCACGGTGACGACGTTGTGACTGTGCGAATTTCCTTGTGTTCCCTGAGTACAAAAATTTGACAAGATGAACAATTACTAGAAAAAGTTTCGCGAATCCAAAGATGAGAACAGTAATCGAAGAATGTGCTGAATATTTCTCATAAGGGATCGTTCAGACCGCGCACAAAGGCGGAAAGGCGCACGAAGGCGCACAAAGGCGGACGAAGGCGCGTGTGAGTGTCTGTGTGTCGAGAGAAACGAGACGAGACGAGACGCGCCTTCATGCGCCTTTGTGCGTCTTTGTGCGCCTTTGTGCGCGGTCTGAACGATCCCTAAGATGCGACAAAACTACCCCTCAGATCCCCCAATAACGCGCTGGATACAATTGCCATATATCCTCAAAATGCATTTCCAGTGGCCTCTACAATTAGCTTGTAGCGAAAAAGCAGAAGCACCCCCTTACTTCGTATAACAGCATCGCTCGCACAGCCTTAAAGGCAGTACATCGGCAGAATGAGACCCGTGACAAAACAAGGTCACAGGGTAGGAGCCCCCATATGGAACTTATCGTCCAAAGTCCGATCTTTCTCTGCCACTTCTAATCCCCGAAATTTCAAAGTGAAAGCAGCCCTCATCTCCTCTCCTCTCCGAACCCGCCCACCCCATGGACGAGTGACTTCCGCGGTCAGAGCGCCAGCCGCAATGCTATAAGCATGAGGTCCCGCAACGACTCTGCGTCTTCGCCACGACGGGCTTCGCGTTCACTCGTCCATGGGGTGGGCGGGTTCGGAGAGGACAGGAGATGAGCGCTGCTTTCGCTTTTAAATTTCAGGGGTTAGAAGTGGCAGAGAAAGATCGAACTTTGGCCCATAGGTTCCATATGGGGGCCCCTACCCTGTGACCTTGTTTTGTCATGGGTCTCATTCTGCCGATGTACTGCCTTTAAACACGACTTTTGATAAAGCAGTTTGATAGCGACTTGCTCATACACAACCTGTGTTACTCTTTCATCCCTTAAAAATGACCTCTCCAATTATGCGTAAAATTTAGGACTAAACACACTACGGTTATCAAGCTTAACCCTTCGACAAGGGTTCCTTGCAAAAACTTCATGAAGCCCGCCATCAGCAGGACGAATAATTCCTTACAGAATTTTAGAAGTCGAATCATAACTTTTGCGTTCAACTGACTATAGCTCGAATATCTACCCTTTCCGTAAAAGGTTGTCTCGGAAAAAAACCAGCAATGAAGCCAAATCTTGCCATGCTCACGGCATAGCGTGTATAGTCGATTCGTTGGTCACACAGACTGCTCAAACGCTGCGGACCACGCGCGGAGCGGCTGAAATGTTGCGAGAGCACGACTTGTACTATGGCGAATTTGTACTGGGGCAACGTTCTTCCTAGCGGCGCGTGCTCTGGAGTGATGTTCCAGTCCGTGCGGTCAGCGATTCGACGATATACAGGGTGTCCCAAAAGTAACTACCCTAATTTCACGCGTACAAGGCGCGGGGTGGTCCTAGCTTTCATCGAGCTGCTCAGCCGCCCCAACGTGTTTTAAGAAGCGATCCTTATGCCGCACGATTCGTCAGGCAAAACGCAGCACGGTATGGGGTTCCTTTGGTTGCGAAGTCCTTTGCCGTGTTCGGGCTGGTCGATGAAAGCTAGGACCACCCTGCGCCTTGTACGCGTGAAATTAGGGTACACACTTTTCAATCGTTAATATCTCTCTTCCCATTGTGTCTTTTTCCGCTATTTGAGTACCATTCTGTAGAGGAGGCTTCAACTTAGATTCACAGTAATCGAGTCATCGACCGCTCTCCTTTACTGTGGGATTACGGTAAGAACTTCCAACATGTGGAACATTGTGAAATATGCCATCTGACGAAATTTTTTTCAAAAAATCTGAAAAATCGTTTGTTAGACTTCTCGCAAACGCTATTCCACTACACAACTTTTTACGAGTGTTTTCAGCTTTTTTGACGGTGTAATCACATTTCTGACAAATATTGGGAAATCGGTTATTACGGTTTAACTGGGATAACGAAAGAAGCATCACAGTAAGGTGGGAATTTCATATTCGAAATCAGCGACTTTCATTACCATAGGATAAGAGTTTTTGGCTTGTTTGGTTGTGATCCTAGACAGAATACTGCTTCCAATGGCCTAAAGTCCTTCTCGAAATTCCTACAGTAATCCTACAGTAACGAAAAGCGATCGATGATTCGCTCGATACTGTGAATCTAAGTTGAAACCTCCTCTACAGAATGGTATCTACTTGAATGGCGGAAAAAGACACAATGGGAAGAGAGATAATAACGATTGAAAAGTGTGTACCTACTTTTGGGACACCCTGTATACATTTTTCTCGCAGCTGATGTACAGTATAGGCGATTCATGGCAGGTAAAGACTGCAGACATATCGGCGTCTCCGTGATCGGGCGCTCTTTCGTTCCTCTTACCGTCTGCTCTCTCTCCCATACACGAAATATCTCGGCTGGACGCAACGGCGCCCAGCCTTTGCGTGTCATGAATCGACGATACATGCTACTGCACACAAGAGCTCCTGAAAGTTGGATCGTAAAATACCGGCTTCTTAGAACTCTTACTCAAATCAACAGATCCAAAAAACCAGTGAATTTCAAACGTGCTCGACTTCTGCAATGGCGATCTCTACGGGACAATCATCTTACGGCGCGCCGTGTGCGCATCAACCGATGCCTGTGCCGATATGGCAACGTCACAGTTCAAAAAGCGTCCACTCAAATCTTCACCTTCCATATGTTTGCCGTTCTTGGGCATATTCATGACCGATTCATGATTGCGCATATGGGGTGAAAATTAATGGACCCTGAAAAACTTTCAAAATATCCTTATGGGCAAGCGTGGACGAATGGAGCTACTCTAGTTGTTCTCAGAAAAAAATGTATTATGAGCAGGGATATATCCCTGCTGCTAGATATCTAGGTGCAAAATGCACTTGTCTATCAAAACGGCTTAGCTAGCAACAGTAAAGCGTGAATAAAGGAAAGCGAGAGAAATTAGGATTCCCCGTATTGCAGGCCCATTTTCCTTTATTAGGGGCTACTTCAAAGGACCGTACCAACGCAGACGCTTCACTTCCAGAGCCTGCTCATAAACTATATGTTAGTCCACGAAATATGTATTATTGAGCCTTCGCAAATTCCACACGGACTGTCCGTAATCTCATCCCTCACTCAAACTTAATCATATCTTGCTTTCCCATAAGGAAAATAAGAAAGAAATACCAGATTTCGCATATCACAAACATTTCCCAGTCTTCCCACGGGATCAAAGCATAACGAGAATAACACTAAATGGAAAAATCCGGACTAAAACCTATTGTTCACGTTTGAAACCTTCAAAGCATGCAAGTGTTTCTATCATTTGTAAATGGTCATGTTTATTGAGAGAGGTTGCAGGAAAGGAATTCTGAAAGCCGTCAGAGCAGATTGCAACTTCCTGCTTTTTCCAAAGTGCGAAAGAATGAATGATGCTGCAACACAATTGACAAATCTGCATAGAACAGCGGTATCGAAAGAATGGTAGAGCTATGCACTTTCGATCAATGTCCTTTATGTCTGTAATAGAATCAATTCAACACAAGCTGTAGCCGCAGTGATCGATTGCGCACTTTTGTCTTCGCGTTTTCAAATAAACTGACTAAAAACATATCACTCATTTTCTGATTGAACGACACGAGCATGCTTTGCGTACGTCTAATTAACAAATTTGAGAGGGCGTTTTAACATGTCTTGGTAAAACGTCTTGGTAAATTACTATTAGTAAATCATAAAAGAAGATGTTCGAACTCGCATTGTTAAACGAGGCTCGAACATGTTCTTTCACGAATGAATCTCTGATAGTAAATCATCGAAAACGCGTGAAACGCACTCATAAATTTGTTAATTAGACGTAAGCAAAGCGTATTGATCAGGAATTAGATGACAGGCTTTGTTCAGCTTGAATTTTTAAGGCAATATTCTAATATCGAAGATGTAGGATGAAATGCTGCAGCACTGATTCAGTGCATAGCACATGAAACCCAGTGGCAACAATAGAGCTGAACAAACTTTATCATAATGTTAGGTCAATGTAAGGACTTTGAGAAAAATGTATTCAAAGCAATGTTTTCTGATTATCTGCACTGAAGCAGAACGAATAGGGAAGACAACAGCAGCAAACAAATCAGATTCAGAATGAAGGAACGGAGAATCAAGCGGGATGGGTTTTCTTGTGTGACTGAACTAGACATGCGATCTTTCTTCTCCCCACCGTTCCTCACTGCGTACTTTCCACACTTTAGCACACACAAAACCCAAACTCTAGTACACGCATAAAGAATTACACTAGATTATCCTAGTAAGCATACAGCAAAAATCTAAAAACCCATATTCTTGTAAGCGTAATTTTTCGTAATTTCCAAAAACGATTGCTGGAAACGGAAACAACGGTACGAATGACGATCGATGGTGAAACTGAGACACGCAGTAATGGCTTTTAGGCGCAGGTAAAACGGGACTGCCAATCAATCACTGACGCGATCGATAGTGATCGATATGAAAGTCATGCTTAGCGCCAGCCATATTGCAAGCATTAACCAAGTTCCGCAGTGAAAGAGACATTGTTTTCGAAATTTGTTAGAATCGAAATCTCAATAGAAAAACTAGCTTCCCCACTAACAATGCTAGTGCCGAATGGCATGAAACGGAGAGATTCGAATCGCAATTTTATGAGTTGAGAGAAAGCTTTCCATTGTCTGCAGCTCTATAACACACAACGACGTCGTTCTGCACAGGGGAGCGACGCTAAAGCTGCTCTGACGTGGTGCGTGCGGCGCTTGCTTGCTAATGGTCAGCAGTGCGGCTCTTGCGCCTAGATTTACGGGCGAGGTCACGTACCGTGCGGCCCGCGCGCCTTGAATCCTCAGCGTATGACACGAGCCATACTTGATCGTTAGGTGCTAGAGTAAACATTTTGTTCACGTTGGGGTCCCGCGCAGAATGGACGTCACCGTGCCGGCGTCAATCCAAGTGACGTCAATTC